ACCTCCATACTGTTTTCCAGAGTGGCTGCACCAGCTTGCATTCCCACCAACAGTGGAGGAGGGTTCCCCTTTCTCCGCATCCCTGCCAACATCTGTCGCTGTCCCCCACTTTAAAGTGGTGGTGCATGAGTGCCGTGTGTTTTGCTGTCACGTCACGTGGTGATTCTGTCAGGGACACAATCAAGGTTAAGGATTAGGCACGAGGCCGGGAACAGCACGTGTTTGAATCCTGGTTCCAGCATTTGCTGTTCAGGCATTCCGAGCAGGACACTCACAGCTCCGTTTTCTCAACCACAGAATGGAACACATAAACAGCGCTTGTAACAGTCACGACATAGGATGCATTAGCATAGTACGTGTGCAACAGGAAATTACGCATTCAATACCGCCCCACCCCCACCCACACATTGGGTTACTTCAATGCTATCAGGACATTTTTAGTTCAAGGATTGAAAAACAAATGCTAAGACATTTTTAAATAAAGCCTATTGGTGGAAGATTTTGTACGTTAGATTGTCGTAATTCTACACTGGGGGTTGTTTGCTAGTTTTCAGATAAAGACATTATATATACAATGGGATTTTAAGCCTTATATAGCTGCTTTTATTTTCACATTAGGGAAAACGTGCCTTATCAAACAGGAAAACAGTAGAGCAGGATTTGCCTTTATATCCTGAAATCACTGGTGGAGTTCCTACTTGTTGGATTCCTCTCTCCATTCTTCTCTTGGATACCAACCCTCTGAACAGTCTTTTCTGGAAAGAAGAGCAGCCAGCAGTAATGAAACAGTTTCAGGACCTTTACCTTTAGTGCTAATTCCCTCAGCCCTCTTCCACAATTGTCAGTAGCCAGAGAACCGTTTCTGTCCAGAGAGCTCCCCAGAACCGCAGTCTTTGTCCACTCACCCCACGGAGGTGCCAAAACCCAGGCATATGTGGCAGTAAGATCGAAGTTATGTTACCGTCTGTCTCCTCCATATTCGAGGTTGAACTCAATGTGACTACCTTCCCTTACCTCTAACCCCAACTCCTGCCTAATTTACTTCTCCTCTCCTGTCTTGTTTCAATCTCTCTGGATTCTGGCCTCTTGCCTTGGATGCTCTCCTGGTTTACATCCTGGCATGACCTCTGGACATAGACTTTGGTCTACATATCGGAATGCCACTGTGTGCAGGTCCTCTTGTTTGACATGAATTTCTAATTTAGTTTTGTTGTGCCTTCATTTTAAAGTAATGTTCTGAAAGTGCTGGTGGGTTTTGCTCAAACTATTCCACTTCAGGGTTTAGCCTACTTTCTCTTGAGAATCATTAACTAGTGTTGATGATCAGCTTCTTTACTGAATCTTCTCCCTGCCACACTGTAATCATGGTTACTTCCCAAGACAGTCCTTTTTCCCTCTATCTCCACTGCCATAGACTATCCTCCAAATTCTGCTCTTCTGGCTTGACTTCAGCAGTCAATAGAAGAGAGGAAACTCCTGTCTCACAGAAAGCATCCCCTCTCCCCCATAGGTGAAGACCATAAGCAGAACAGTAAGCCAGAGAATGAGAGAAAAGAGACATTGGTCTTTCAGTCATTCATCTCACTCCATATTTTTTATTCAGTATTTTTCATGTTGCTATCTCTTTCGCATTTCCATAAAAATTTAAGTTCTTTACATTAACAGGTTTTCCCTCTTGTGAATTCTTTGGTGTTGACGAAGGTGTGAACTCTGACTGAAGGCTCTCCCACACTCACTGCATTCATAGGGTTTCTCTCCAGTGTGGATTCTCAGGTGTCGAATGAGGTGTGAGCTCACTCTGAAGGTTTTCCCACATTCACTACATTCATAGGGTTTCTCTCTGGTGTGAATTCTCTGATGCAGGATAAGATGTGAGTTCAGGCTGAATGCTCTCCCACATTCTTTGCATTCAAAGGGTCTTTCCCCAGTGTGAATTCTCTGGTGTCTAATAAGATCTGAGTTCCCCCCAAAGCCTTTCCCACATTCATTACATTCATAGGGCCTCTCTCCAGTGTGGATTCTCTGATGCCTGATAAGCTTTGAGCTGTGTCTGAAAGCTTTCCCACACTCATTACACTGGTGGGTTTTCTCCCCACTAAAAATTGCTGCATGTTTAATAAGATTTGGACTCTTGAGAGATGTTCCATATTGGTGAATTTTTTCTCTGGCATAAATTCTTTGATGCTTAATAAAATCTGGATTCCATTTGAAACTTTGGTCATAGGTACTGTGTTTACAAGATTTCTGGTGTGTCAATTCACTTGAATTCAGGTTTAAGCTTCTCTCACAACCATCATGGCTAATGTCATCTGTCAGTGTATTTTTGTGGGTAAGGATTTTACTAAAACCTCCATCCTGAGCAGATGATGGTCTCTGAGACCCTCCTGATTCTTTTTCCCATTGCCTCTTTAACCTGCCTGCAGACTTACAGATGTCTTGAGGTTCAGCAGATCCTTCTGACATGAATCCTGAAATTCTTCTTGATAGAATCCTCTGTGATTCCATTTCTTCATAAATGTCCAACTTTGGCATGGATCCATTGTTTTCACTCTCATTACCTAAAAGAATGAAAATACAAACTGGTAAATATCTGTTTGCTGAGTTGGAAGAAAAAAAAATTTGAGATATACACAAGACAGTTACATATTGGTACTTCAATTGGCTACTCTAAAAATGTGGCCTTTCAAGGGAAAGGTGTGATGGACAAGGACACAAGAGAAAAATTGGTAAGAGCACGTAGAATGCCTGTGGAGGGGAAAACCTTCAACCATCTACCCACCCACCCATTTTTTCATCGTCCATGGCTAATCAAGTTCTATAAGCACTTTCTGCTAAATGTACCCTGAACACATCCCCTTCTTTACATTTCTGCTACCACTATCCTTGTCACTCTTCCTATCGAGGGGACTGTCACAGCCTCCCACTGTTTTTTTTTTTTAAAGATTTTTATTTATTCATTTGAGAGAGAATGAGAGACAGAGAGCACGGGAGGGAAGGGAGGGAAGAGGGTCAGAGGAAGAAGCAGACTCCCTGCCGAGCAAGAAGCCCGATGCGGGACTCGATCCCGGGACTCCAGGATCATGACCTGAGCCGAAGGCAGTTGCCCAACCGACTGAGCCACCCAGGCGCCCCGCCTCCCACTGTTTTGACTCTGAGCTGTTCTTCCTAGTCATCCTGAATACCCTCACCAGACTGTCCTTAACATCCTTTCCCTTCCTATACCCTACTCAGAAATCTTCCCTCTCTTTTCTTCCACAACACACCTGAACTCCTCCGCCTGGTTTCCAGAATCCATTTATGATTAAGTCCTCACAATTCCTGCCTTCTGGCTCACAAATTTATACTATACTTACGACTCTATATTGTGCTTCAATCAAGCACCCCCCCTTTGTCTTTTTGTTATTTTTTTTTTAAAGGTTTTATTTATTTATTTGACAGAGAGAGACACAGCGAGAGAGGGAACACAAGCAGGGGGAGTGGGAGAGGGAGAAGCAGGCTTCCCGTGGAGCAGGGAGCCCGATGCGGGGCCCGATCCCAGGACCCTGGGACCATGCCCCGAGCCGAAGGCAGACGCCCAATGACTGAGCCACCCAGGCACCCCAAGCACCCCCTCTTTGTTGCAGGGTTTCCTTTGTCTAGAATATGCTAAGGCAGGAAAGGTGGTTAGGCCATGCTGATCTTAGGCTGGGGGAAATGCATGATTTTGGATGCAGTGGATGGCAATCTCTCCAGAACAAACTGGAAAGCAGAATTTGGGTATTTTTTAAAAAACTGACTAATTTATTTATCTACCTATCTATTTATTTACTTATATATTTTTTAAAGATCATTATTTTTTTTTTATAGATTATTTATTTGAGATAGAGTAAGAGAGAGCATGGGGGAGGCCGGGGGAGAGGGAGAAACAGACTCCCCGCTGAGCAAGGGAGCCTGACCTGGGGCTTGACCCCAGGGCCCTGAGATCATGACCTGAGCTGAAGGCAAATGCTTAACCAACTGAGCCACCCAGGTGCCCCCAAAACTAACTGTAATTATTCTTGAATTTATTTTTGAGATCATTCACACCTAAAGTAATATTGAGTCCACGAACTTTTTAAACAGAGGAGTTTTAGAACAGTGATGAGTATTCCATGGAGGTAGTCGCCAGAAGTATGCTGACTTCCTATAAAAAATGAAAGCTTTGTAAGACCAAAAATACAGTAAGAGAGACAATAATGTGGATCTTGTTCTATGTATCTGTGAATTATATTCCACTTCCAAGTATATCATTATGTATCTGCTTCTCTACTAAAATGTGTTGTTTCTCTTGATGTGTTTCTTCCTCTTTTTCTTTTGTTTTTTTTACTTATTCCCTGACGTTTTCTCATGCGTTTATTTTTCTTTCCTTTAATTTACTCATAAAAATATCCTGTGTTTTGGAAATATTCTGGATGAAGAACAAATGGGAAAACGTAAATATTCTGGTTAAGGAACCAAATTCTCTCTCTGTTTTTGTTTTAATTGGTCAATGACACATAGGGAAAAAGTTCTCTACTTTTCACCACCTATGGTAACAGAGGCTACTCTGAGAAGGGACATTCACAGTCCATTCCTTCAGTGACATGAACTGCATGCAGTACTGCCCCTTACCACCGTCCAGCAGAAGGGGTGCTGAAGAACCATGAAGGGTCTCGGGGTCCACTGGCTGCAATTGGACACTAAGTGCTGGTCCAGGAGGTACCACCTTTCTCCTGAATATCTCTTGTCCATGTGCATGGGCTGGAACCTGAGAAAAATAAAGTACATTTGGGCTTGTGAGAGAATCCCTGCTGGGTATCTGAACATCTTCCAAAAACAAAGAGAACCTCCTGTAGGAATACAAAACTGCAGAAGGATTAAGTCTGACTTAAATGCAGAATGTGGCACAGGACCACAGGTGGCAGAAAGGAAACAGAAAGGCACACTGACCCACCAGCCCCTGCAGGTCTCCCCGGGCGTTCAATTTCCGGCCCTTTCCTCCCACTGTGGGACTCCATCCATGTGGAGGTCTTAGATCTCCCACCCCTTGAGTACCTGGACCACTGCATCATCAGTGCCTCTCTCCAGATCCTCCAGCACAGCCAGCGCCTGCTCCCCGCTCTCCGGGTACCGCTCCCGCACCCAGGCCTGCAGGTCCCCCGGCAGGATGGTCAGGAACTGCTCCAGCACCAGCAGCTCCACGATCTGCTCCTTGCTGTGCGTCTCGGGCCGCAGCCAGCGTCGGCAGAGCTCCCGGAGCCGGCTCAGCGCCTCTCGAGGTCCAGGGGAATCCTGGTAGCAGAACTGCCTGAAAAGCTGCCGGCAGAGCTCCTGCCTGAGGGGATCGCCTCTCTGGAGGCAAGTGTCCTGCCTCCAGACAAAATCTTCCTCTTCTATCTTCACTATCAGAAGTCCTTCATTCTCCTGAAGGTTCTGAGCTGTAGCTTTCTTTGATTCTGTTGTCATGTTTGGATGAAATGTATTACCAGGAAACCCACTTCTGCTTTGTGAACAGTCTTATTTAGTTTCAAGGGCTCTTCTAAGGGATAAAAAATAACTATTACTGTCTATGAAGATGAAAGATCACATCACAGAAATAATCATTTTCCATTACACAGAAGTGTACTAGGCATTTACTATATGTAAAAGCACTGAAATACTTTGTGGAATACAACTATCACATAATTTCTACCTCAAAGCAGCTTAAAATTAAAATTTAAAAACAAAATACCTCTTTTTAAGATTCATTTACTTTAGAAAGAGAGAGAGAGGGCGCACGTGTGTGAGTTGGGGGGAGGGACAGAGGGAGAGGGAGAGAGAGAGAATCTCCAGCAGACTCCTAGCCCATCTCAGAGTCCAAGGCTGGGCTCAATCCCACGACCCTGAGATCATGACCTGAGCAGAAATCAAGAGATGGACTCTTAATCAACTGAGCCACCCAGGCACCTATAAAAACAAAATATCTTAAAGTAGAAACAATAAATATAAGATTTATAAATTTAAGGCAATGCTACATGTTAACATACCACATGCAATTAATTAAATTATACGTAAGTCATAAAGACAACAAAGACCAGCATAAGAAAAACAATAAAGTGCTTCACAAAGTTGGAGGTGCAAAGTCTAGCAGGTTGCAATGGTCCGGGAAAACTTAATGAAAAAATTAACTTCTGAAGAATGGAAAGGATTTGATAGGATGTGGGAGAGAGAAAAATAGGAAATTACAAGCAAGGAAACAGCCTGAACCAGTTAATGGTAGGATCACAGAAGTGGGAAAGGAAAAAATTCAGTAGGTTTGTATAAGGAAATCACAGAGGCAAAGGCCCTACCATAGAAAGCCTCAAATGCCAAGACCCTGAATTCAGAGTTTATCTTTTAGGCACTGGGGAGCCAAGGAAAGCTTCTGAGCAGAATGACCTGACAAATACCGTTTGTGGACATTAACATGTTGTTCATTTCTAGGATGGACTGCAATATGAAAAGAGAAACATAGAGAGGCCATACTTATACAAGTGTGAGGAAAATGCAAGCTTGGAATGATAATTATTAATTCAAAATCTGGACCTAGGATTACTTATAAATCTCTTAAGTAATAAGGGTAACTTTTTTTCCTTTTCTTACAAGATTTTAAAAAAAGATTTTATTTATTTATTTGACAGAGAGAGCACAAGCAGGGGGAACAGTAGAGAGAGAGGGAGAATCAGGCTCAATCCCAGGACCCTGGGATCATGACCTGAGCCGAAGGCAGATGCTTAACCATCTGAGCCACCCAGGCGCCCCTAAAAGATTTTAAGTAATCTCTACACCCAGTGTGGGGCTGGAACTCACAACCCTGAGATCAAGAATCACCTGTTCCACCAACTGAGCCAGCTGGGTGCCCCAGGGTAACTTTTCTCGAGAGCCAGAGGCTAACAGTTTCAATCAGTGTTAACTAGTTCCTTCCGCAAAGGTCTCAAATAGGTTTCCTGTTATCCCAACAGTTCCTTCTCTACCTCCCTAGTTTCGTGGCTCAGTCCATATCTTGGACATTAAGTCCTATCATCTCACCAATAAAGTTAAATAAAATAAACCAGCACCATGACTTGCTTATCTGTCGACTGTGAGTCTCGTTATTAAATACCAGTTCCTTGAGTCTTAGCACATGGGAATGTCTGGTTTCTGCACTGAAAAACTGAGTAACAGGAATTTAGATGTGAAGCCTAGAGTGCAAGAGCAGGATGCAACTATCAATCTTGCGGGGCCTTCTACTACACATTTCACCAGCTGAGTGCCCACTGTTGCACTGACATGTACTTTATTAAGAATCTGAACACAAGCCAAGCTAAGGCTAGAAGTTGTACAGTAATGGTTTCCAAGAAAGTCTGAGTTCCCAGCTGATTAATCATGTGGGAACTTTGTTAGAAAGTGATTCCTGGGATACTGTCTGGGTCAGTATGGGTATACCTGGAAAATCCGTATTTTGATGTACAGCCGTAAGGAATTCAATGGTGCTTGAGTTTGTAAAAACAGTTGGGAAAAAAGGACGTAAGACCCACGTGCATTAAAAACATCTAAATAACTAAGTAGGTTTCACCTAACACACGCTGAAATGCTGATAACTGCTGAAGACTGAAGGACTAGCCAAGCTGTACGGTAGCGGGATCGAATATCCTAACGGCTCGGAGGCGGGAGAGGGAGAGAGAGAGAGAGAGTCCGCGCGGGGCAGCAAATACCGGGCAATACAAGGTGGGAAAGATCCAAACGGCACCGAGGCAAGCCGAGGAAGCGGGATGGACGCCGACTGAGGCTGCGACGAGCCCGCAGGGCATACCACAACTCCACGGAGCTCGGGCACAACACCCGTGACCTCGAATTATGTTTGGCTTTGGCTGTTTTTCCTCCTCCATGACCGTTACTCCGGGAGGTCAAGGGCCTTGCACTCCCGTTTTCCGAGTTTCCACACTCGCTGAACGGGAGGGCAGCCCGAGAGCCTCCCGACGCCGCCGGCACAGACAGGAAGGAGGATCGAGCCGGGAGCGCGGGCGCTCGGTGAGGGCAGGCGCCGGGGCGTGCAGGGGAGCGGCCGGGAGGCTTCCCGCACCGAAGCACGCCGCAGTCCTGCCCACCGCCCGCCCGGCGGACCGTCTCCGCCGCTTCCACCGCGTCCCCGGGCACACGGGGCGCAACACGCATCCAGTGTCCGGCCGCCCCGCTTTCCCCACGAGAAGGCGGGCACCCCTCCCGCGAAAAGCGGGCGTCGGGGCGGGCTCCCGGGCAGCTCCTCCAGGCAAGAAGCCGCCCCCCGAGGTCGCCGCCGTGCCCGCCATTCCCGTCAGTGACCCCGGCCCGCGGCCCGGCGCCCCGCCCGCGGCGGTGACGTAACGCGCGGCGCGGGTAACCATGGAAACCCGCCCCTCTGGAAGGAGGCGGGCACAGTGTCCTCCGAATGCCGAGTCTCAGTGCCACTTTTCCTCGGGATTCCTCCGCGGCCCCGGCTCCAGGGCGCCGCGGGGCTGCTGCAATCCCGAAGTAAAGTCGTAGGGACTAGGTGCTTGGAGGGGACAAAAGGTCGGACGCATGGGTCCCAAACCCGGACTCACCTCTCCTACAGGGTGGTTCCGATCGGACACTTCCGGTGGGGGCACGGCGCTGCACCCTCTCTCAAAGCTTCCGTCCTCGTGGGCCCTGAGCCTGCGCAGAAGGCGGCCTGGCGCTGCACTGCGACTCCCAGAAGTCTTGGCGTCTCTGCCGCGCTCCGACTCCTGTTTCCCAGGCAGCTTCCGCGGCTCGCGAAGCTCTCGGGGCTTTGGGGTGGGGTCCTTGCCCCCCTGTGTAGCGGGAAGCGCGGCCTCGCCGGGACTTCAGTCTGGGGAGTGGGACGGAAGCCACGCACCGCGCTCAGACCTCACCCTTGCAAAGCCTCCCGGGGCTTCCGGGAGCGCAGGTTACAAACGTGGCCGGTTATAGCCGGACTCACGACGGCCTGTGCGTGGCCCGAAACGTGGACTTTCTCGAATCCGTGGGCCAATGTGTGAGGACTAGAATGTTGACGGTGACTTACGTTCACTGCTGCTCCTTCAGTACCTTCTCTCACGTGCGGTGTTAACCGAAATTCAACCGAGTAAGCAAGAAGATCTGATCATACTGATTGAGCCGTAGTAAGAGAGGAGCGTGGAGTGGTACAAAAATCTAAGATTTTTATAGGAAAGAGAGTGGAGCAAGGAAGTTATTAGCCAAAGGAAAAGCATTGTTTCAAGGCAAGGTGGCCTTCCCTTGGCGGGGGTGGGGGGGAAGGTGAGGAGGGGGGGGTCTTCTATTGCAGATTACCTCATCTTCTTGGGGGGGCGGGGAGAAGGGAATGAAGAGGGCCCATGTGACCTTATTGGTGCTGACCAGAAAATTCTTGGTTGATTTGCTTAAAATTTCACTCCTGAGGAGATTGCAACTGTAATTTTGTCCTGGTTTGCTATTCTGGAGGCAAGTAACTCCACCTGGGCCTGTGGTTTTCTATTCAACAGAAGTAACCCCTATAATCTGTGTTTAGTCTCTTTTTGAAGGAATAGTTCTATTAGATAAGTATGCATGGTAAAGCAATATATGGTTTAGTTTTCTTGTTTTTCATCTAAAAGGCATCATGCCATAGGTAATCTTCTGATATTTGCTGTTTTCACTTAACAATAGGTCACTACGGTTTATCCACGTTGTTGAGTTAAAGTTAATTTTCATTACTGTATAATGCCAGTTGTGAATATGGCATCCATTCTCCTAAAGATGGACTGATACGCTCTCTTCTGGTTAGGGCAGTAAACCTCTTACATGTTCCCTCTGCTTCTTTCTGTGTTCCCCACAGTCTATTCTTTTATTTAATTTTATTTATTTATTTGAGAGAGAGAATGAGATAGAGAGCATGAGAGGGAGGAGGGTCAGAGGGAGAAGCAGACTCCCCGTCGAGCAGGGAGCCCGATGCGGGACTCGATCCCGGGACTCCAGGATCATGACCTGAGCCGAAGGCAGTCGCTTAACCAACTGAGCCACCCAGGCACCCCCCACAGTCTATTCTTTTTTTTTGAGAGAGAGAGAGAGAATGAGAGAGACAGAACACATGAGAGGGGATAGGGTCAGAGGACGAAGCAGACTCCCCGCCGAGCAGGGAGCCCGATGCGGGACTCGATCCAGGGGCTCCAGGATCATGACCTGAGCCGAAGGCAGTCGCTTAACCAACTGAGCCACCCAGGCGCCCAGTCTATTCTTAACAGAGCTGTTGCGGCCTAAGTTCTGTCATGCTGCTGAAGGGTAGTAGAACACACCTCCTCAAAATATGCGCCTTTGATATATTGATTATTTTGAGCTGTAGGCACTTGAAAAAAAGCAAATGTGGAAAGACGCTTTCTCTGACTTTCCCTTATCTGCCTAAAGACAGATCCTCCAGAATAAACTCAATTGTTGTAAATACCCTCCCCAGAAGTTTCATCAGCTAGGGAAGATTGGCTCATATCATAGGAAAGAAGTTGACACCACACCCTGACAAACTTGTCACAAATGATCATGATGTAGAAATGGGGTTTGGAGCCCACAGCCAAAAAAGAAATCTTGAGATGTCTTCAGTGGAAAACTGTGGTTTTATTAAAGCACGGGGACAGGGCCCGTGGGCAGAAAGAGCTGCACTGGGGTAGCGATGGGTGACTGATTATATGCTATCACGTTGGGAGGGGTTTGGGGACAGCACAAGCCTCCCAAGGTATTTTGGAAGCAAGGTTTCCAGGATCCTGAGGGGGGCTAGCTATTGTTAGGAAAAGGTCATTTATTACTATTTAGTAAGAACTCAGTCATGAGACCCTTCAGATGTATATCAGTGGGTCATATCCTTGGAGGATGATTGCTCATCCAAAGGAATTTTTTCCTTTGACACCACACCCTGACAAAGGAGTGTTTCCAAAGGAATTTTTATATGTTAAAGTAGACTTAACAGGATCCTGGGGCGTCGGGATAATGTTAAGCTAAGATTGCCACTTTAGCGAAGTGTCAACATCAAGGCAGCTGAAATCCCAGAGGAAGGTCACTTTGCCTGTTTCAAGGACTTGACACTGGGCTGTAGGCAGTAAGGAAATTTAATTCTTTCTTTACACTTTGTTTCCCACATCAGTCATACCTCCCATCTGTTCTCTTAAGGGCCCATTCATCTTTACTAAAAATCATTTACTCTCCCCTAAAAGGCCTACATCTCTTGTCCCCTTTCCCTGTTAAATGAAATCCTAAGTTACTCTTTTCGTTGCTCATTTTTCTCTAGGTATTTCCTGTGTACTCATGAGGTATACATGTTAATAAACTTCTGTTTGTTTTTCTCTTGTTAATGTCTTTTATTACAGGGATTTCAACTGAGAACTCAGAATGATAGAGGGAAAATTATTTTTCAATCCCTAAACTAGCCCTCAGCTTAAAACCTTTGAGTAGCTCCCCATTTCAGGCAAGGCAAAACCTAAAGTTCTTAAAATGGCCTCTGAGACCCCATTTGACCTATACCCCATGTAATCTATTACTCTCTCCCTAGCTTATTCTGCTCTATCATCCCCAGTGATCCTCCTTGCTCTACCTAATTAATAACTATCTGGAAAAAGCACCAAGCCCACTAAATAGTTTCATTAGTGAATTCTGTCAAGCAGTTAAAGACCAATTCTTCACAATCTATTGAAAATAGAAGCAGAGGGAACACTTCCTAACTTTCTACTGTATCTACTACCGAAACCATTTAAAGACATTACAAGAAGAACACTACAGACCAAGCTGTCTCATGAACTTAGATGCAAAAATCCTCAACAAAATATTAACAAATCCAATGGTATATAAAAAGAATTATATACAACAACCAAGTGGACATGCAAGAGTGGTTCAGCATTTGGAAATCAGTCAACATAATCCACAAATATAATCAACAGGCTAAAAAAGCAAAATCATAATCATTTGATTCAGAGAAAGCATTTGACAAAATCCAAAAGCTGTTTGTGATGCAAACTCTCAATAAACTAGTAGTAGATGGAAACTTTCTCTACTTGATAAAGAACATCTACAGATAACAACCCACCCGCCCACCCAGCAAACCACAGCTAACTCCATACTTACAGATGAGAAGCTGAATATTTTCCTCAAGATTAGAAAATGGATAAAGCTGTCCTCTCACTACTATTTCACATCATGCTGGAAGTCCTAACTAGGACAGTAAGACAAAAATAAATAAAAGGTATACAGAAAGGAAAGGAAGAAATAAAGCTATCTCTATTCACATATAAACTTTCTACGTAGAAAATCCCAGAGACCAAAAAACAAAAATCTGGAGCAAGCAATTACAGCAATGTTGCAGGTTACAAGGTCAATATCTGAAAGTCAAAAAGAAAATACTTAGGTATAAACTTGACAAAATAGGTATAGGCTCTGTATGCAGAAAATTACAAAACACTGATGAAATAATTCAAAGAAATCTAACATATGGAGAGATATTCTATGTTCATGTATTGGAAGACTCAGAATTGTTAAGGTGTCAATTCTTCCCAACTTGATCTGTTGACTCAACATAACTCTCAGAAATCACAGCAAGCTGTTTTGTAGATATTGACAAACTAATTCTAACATTTATATGGGAAGGAAAAGACGTAGAATAACCAACACAATATTGAAAAAGAAGGACAAAGTTAGATTCACACTATAATTTTAATATTTGCTATAAAACTACTGTAGTCAAGATGGCATAGGTCAGTGGAAATAGACATAGGTCAGAGGAATAGAATAGAGCCCAGAAATAGACTCAAACAAATATACTCAGCTAATTTATGACAGAGGTGCAAAGGCAATTCAATGGAGAAAGGATAGCTTTTTTCAGCAAATGGTGTTGGAACAATTAGATGTTTATATGCAAGAAAATCACCTTGTCTTTCACAAAATTAACTCAAAATGGATCATAGACCAAATGTAAAATCCAAAACTATAAAACTTCTA